TCATTAATCAAGCTAAGTACGTCAAAGATATGCTCAAGAAGTTTGGACTGGAAAATGGGAAACCTCATAACACTCCAATGAGCTCTTCAACAAAGCTTGACTTAGATGAAGGAGGTAAATGTGTGGATGTTAAATTATATAGATCCATGATTGGCTCATTGCTTTATCTAACCGCAAGTAGACCGGATATTATGTTTAGTGTTTGCTTGTGTGCTAGGTTTCAATCATGTCCTAAAGAATCACATTTACTAGCTGTTAAGAGAATCTTTAGATACCTTAAGGACACTCCTAGTTTAGGACTTTGGTATCCTAGAGACTCTAGCTTTAGCTTGCATGCCTTTTCTGATGCGGATTATGGAGGATGCAAATTAGATAGGAAAAGCACCTCCGGTACTTGCCAATTCCTTGGAAATATGCTGATTTCTTGGTTTTCAAAGAAACAAAATTGTGTTGCATTATCTACCACTGAAGCGGAATACATTTCAGAACTAGTGCTATTTGTCTCACTAAAAATCCCATCCAACACTCTAGAACTAAGCACATTGAAATAAGATATCACTTCATTAGAGACCATGTCACTAAGGAAGATTTAGTTTTAGAATATGTTGATACTTTGCATCAATTAGTGGATATCTTTACAAAACCCTTAGACAAGGAAAGGTTTTAAACACTTAGAATATAATTAGGTTTAACTAACCTATCTTCACTTAGTGTTTAAAATAATTTAGCACTTTTAATAAATACTGAAAAATGCTTATAATAATAATTTTTGATTGCATTCTTGCTATTAGTTAGGGGGAGTTTATGATTCTTGGTGAAAATTAATTTTATGTTCAAATAATGTTTAAAGATTAATTTAATTGTTTGAACATAATTATTTTTCAATATATGAGTTGCCTATACCACTAGAGAAGATTAATTTAGCATTTTATGTGCTTAAAAGTCGGATTTTAGCATTTTGGTGCAGAGGGAATCGATCCCCCCATGAGGGAACCGATTCCCCCTTTGAAGGGGAACCGATTCCCCCCACAAGGGAATCGATACCCCCCTGGGGTTCTGTTAAAATCGGGCAGAACCCTTCAAAACACAAAAACCCTCCTTTTCTTCTTCTTCCGCCGTTCTTCATCTCTAAATCTCTCAAATCTCCATTTTTACCTCAAATCAACGATATTAATCGGAATTTGCTTCAAATATCATCTTCTAAACCTGTTGAAATCATTAAAATCGTGCAAACAACATCTAAATCCCCTCAATCTTCATCTTTCAAGGTAAATTTTTCTAAACTCTCTATTTCATTGTTTTTGAACATAAGATTAGTTTTAATTAGTTCTAGGTTGAAATAGTGATCGGGCATTGATTATTTAGTGATTAGAAACTAGATGTTACAACTAATTTCATCAAAAACACAAGAATTTTCAAAATTTTTAATTTTTCGAAATAAAAAAAATGTTAATTTTTAAATTATTGTGTTTTGATTAAATTATGTTGTTGTTATAAAAACTATAAATATATTGTTTCTCAAAACCATATTGTTCAAAAGTTTTTCAAAAACTTTGCCCATTAGGATTGATTTAGAGAACCTTGAAATATTGAGGACTCATTTGAGTTTTGGGATTAATTGAATTGCATACATTTGTTTTTAAATTTGCAGGTTATTCAATCTATTCCGATTTCCTTCACCATGTCTAATCTTAAACGTGCTAGGTCTTCATCTAGTCGTTCACACCGACAACCAAATCCACCTTCAAATCCTCCACCTATTCTAATTTCTAATCCTAATCCTATTGATCCTAATTTGACTATCCAAAATTCGTGTTTCAATCATCCTGGTCCTAGAAATCATCGTTTTTGGTATTATCAATATTTCGACTCTTACAAAATCCGGGAAGAACGTATTCCTTCTCGTGAAGCTATGTTAGCTATCAATTTTAAATATCTTCCTCTTTTACAAGAGTGGAAATTTGATAAACTCTTTGACCTTGAACCCATCGTTTACCATCAACTTGTTCGTATTTTCTATTCTAATGCCGTTTGTGTTAAAGACCAAACTGAAACCGAAACCATAGGAATTCGTTCCTACCTTCTAGGACAATTCTTATATATTGACTCGGCTTACATAGGCAATGCATTCGGATTAGATAATGAAGGGATTTCAAATGAAAAACAGGTTTTAGGATCTCGTTATAAAAGAAGGGATAGTGCAAGTGTTATAGACCTTCATGAACGTTTTCTTCATCTAATGATTTCTTGGTGGTTTCGACCATCTGGAGGTCGTTATTATACTCTTAGAGCCTTAGATCTTTGGTGGTTACATTGTTTCGAAAATAATATTAAAATCAACCTACCTCAGATTATTTTTGCTGAAATTGTTGAAACCGTAAATCTTGTTCCTAATAAAAAACTTTGTTCATCTCTTGTTTACGGTTGTATTTTGAGTAATCTGTTTTCCAAAGCTGGGCTTAGAGTCAGTCTAGATGCCGCTTTTTCCTCTTAAGAAACAAATTAACCTTCTTTCCTTAACGAGAGCGGGATGGATTAAGGATAAGGAAACCGGGGAATGGGTTCGATCTTCTGCAACTACTCCGGGAGCTAGTTCTTCACGAGCTCCACCTGAAGCTGACGAAGATCTCGAGCTTGAGCAACTAATGCGAGACATCGATGAAGCTGAAGCTGAACCTGAGCAGGCCGAGGAGCAGCCCGAAGAGCAAGCACAACAATCGACTCAAATGCCTCCATATTTTCAATCTTTTATGGAGACATTTGATTACCGATATGCAACCATGGATTCACGCTTTATTTCTATAGAGTCCCATTTATCCACAATGGGAGCTCAACAATTAGAAATTTTTCGGGAAATGCGTGCAAATAATGAAGCAACCAACGCACGTATTAATGACCTCACTAACGAAATGGCCGCTATGCGAGCTCGTTTTCCTCCTCCTAATCCGGATATATGATTAAATGTTTTACTTTGTTTTCCAAACTTATTGTTTTAACATTTTGAATATTTTGAAGGATTGTGAATTTGTTTGGATTTATGGATGGTTTGAACTTATATGTTTGGTGTGATTTATTTATTATTGCATCATTTACATCATTATTAGCAATATGACCAATTTTGCCATATCACATTATTTATGAATATTGATTACGGAACTAATGGCTAACGGTTCTCTTGATTGTGATCTTAGCCGCTTATACCTAATCAATTGGCTTAATATTTTTCACATTTATTTGAATCTTTTTGATTTAACAAAAAGGGGGAGAAGTGTGAGTGTGTTTTTAAAATGATAAATGGGAGAAGTGTTAAAGTAAGGGGGAGTAATTTCAAAACTCGATTTCAAAATATTAAAATTACTAAAATGTTTTGTTATATAAAAAAAGGGGGAGATTGTTGAAAACATTTTGATATTTCGATATAACAAATTAAGTTAAATGAATTTTAAGATTTTCCAAAATGATTTTCTAAGTATATTCGATATAATTATTCGAATATCAAAACATTACTCAAAATATTTCAAAAATCATTTTTAATCCTTACTTAAGTGTAAAATTAAGTTTTAATCTTAAAACAATTTCAAAATAATCTTTCAAAGTATTTCGAACCATTTTAAAGCCAAAAATTCCAGATTGCTCAGAGGGAACCGATTCCCCCCTAGGGGGTACCGATTCCCCCCTGAATGGTTTGGCTCCGAGATTTCCAGAATGCTCGGAGGGAACCGATTCCCCCATAGGGGGTACCGATTCCCCCTGTTCAATGGTCGAAATATTTGAATTTTACACTTAGGGAACCGATTCCCCATAGGGGGTACCGATTCCCCCCCACGCTCCAAACTGTTTTATTAATTGTTTTCACACTAAAACGGCTATATGATCTTCACTAATCATCCCCAACGTTCAGAAGAGATTCAAGGTGTATTTAAACAAGTTCTGAAGCCCTTGATCAATAAGAAATCATAGAGAAACAAGAGAGAAAGCATCAAACACCAAGTTTGTGCAAATCAAGCCAATTTTCTTTCAATATTCATTTTGCTTTCAAGAACACCATTTGTGCTCATTTGTAATTATCTTTGAGTGTTCTTTTCTTGTTCTAGAATTGTGCAAACATCTTACCTTGTGAGGTTTTCTTGTAAGTTTGCAAATTTGTAATCTTCTCTTTGGGAAAAAGAGTGTTCTCAAGAGTTGGGGTATACTCTTGAGGGATTTTGTAAGGTTATCTCTTTGGCCTCAAAAGAAAGAACAAATTAGTGAATTTGTTGGAAAATCCTTAGTGTGGATAGCTAAGGTAGTGGACGTAGACTTTGTTCGATAAAGTCGAACCACTATAAATCGCTGTGCAATTACTTTCAATTTTTTCTGCAAAAGCTTCCACGAAATCTTTAATTGCCAATTCACCCCCCTCTTGGCCGATTCTGTCGATCGATTAACTCAACAATTTTTAATTAATATAAAAAATTCGAATTAAATTACATATCAACATCAAACACAAAAAAATAAATTCAAGGTTAAATTTAACCTCCATCTTCATTATTATTTAAACAATCAAATTTTAAAAAAAATTGAACAATTCAAATTAAATTAAATTTTTAAAAGTAAAATTCAATCAATTTAAAATTAGTTTTCAAAATCAGAGGCTAACATGAAAGAAGTCAATAAGCATCATGCCCCCTTGAAATGTTCTTTAAAATTGTTAATCTGTCTCTTATCCCTTGACATCACTCATAAACTTGATTATAGGTTAAATTAAGCTTAAGCTGAATTCTAAAAAAAATCATGCCTAGGCTTGAATTTGTTCCGACCCTAACGGTTCGTTTTATACTTTTATTATTCATTATACTACATAGATTAATAAAAAAATACTATCATAATTGATTTAAATAAAATTACTTTTCTACTATTTCCTTTGAATTTGACCCGATTCGAGATTTAAATCATCTTATCCTAAGTTGTTATTTTGATCGAAAAAGAATTATCATATCTTTCCTCGATTTGAAAATGCAACCCCAAATCCCCATCAAGAAGTTTAGTAGTGTAAAACACAGTTACATTACAGCGTGCTTTATGAGTTATAAACATAAACTAAAACGAAACAAAGCACAGCCCTCAAGCTGATTGATTCCTATGCACCTGGTGAGGATGAGCTACCTCCAACTGATTTCCAGAGCTTTACCCAATCAAGCATGGCTTTAGCTGTATGAGCAAACACGGGATCTTTCGAGCCTAGCTTCTCTTTAACAGCATTCGCCACCTCGATTACACAGTCCTCAGCTGTCGTTGCTTCCTGTGGCAACCTCACTGACTGAAAGAAAGGTACGGCTTCCTCCATCATCTTCACACCCTCCCATTCTTTTCTCAAGCTTGCTATTGCATCACCTCTATCGTTTCTCCATACATACGGCAGCCCAGTTTTCACACCGAGTCCGAGGTGATCGCATATGACCTTAACACACATCCCACTCCAGATGTCTTCCATTGTTTCCCACCTAAACTTACCTTCCGTGGCCAACCTAAAACATGGAAGTAAGGCAGGTCCAACCAAATCACGGTTAAAAGCAATGTTGATTCCGCTAATAGGCATCAGGGTTCTAGCTGGAACAGTCAGAACTGCGTCAACATATAGGGAATTCCTTTCTTCTGGCTTGAGAGCTTGAGTTGGTGCATCAAAGTCAGCCAAATTATGCCATAGACCACATGACAAAGCACATGTTACCCCATTCCGAAGACTGAATGGGTAGCCACGGACAAAATCCGCACCTTCAGTGAAATGGTCATACAGAGTATTAAAAAAGAACGGTGTGGCTGGGGTTGTAAGGTTAGTAATATGCTGGGCAACAGCATCCACCAAAAAGCCTTTATTGTCCTTGGCTGGAAGACAGTCATCGTCCATGGAGATAATGTACTTCTTCCGAGAAACAAGATAGCCAAAATACCTGCATGCATAGCCAGAGAAGATGATTGAAGTAGAAGTACCCACCACGCGGTCTATGTCAGGCTCTTTATAGACATCGAGATTAAAGCCCTCTGGGATTTTAAGTTCCTCTTTCAAATCAGGGTCTTTCACAATTGTCAGATGAAATCGAGAGAATATAGGTCTCCACACATTCATGAAAGATGTCAGATCAAAATTGAGTGCTCCTATCACGATATCAATCTCATCATCCTTAATTGGTAGACATCTCGCCAAATACAAACAGCAATAGAATTCGGAATAGTCAGGCCTCTTAAATCAGCTGATCGTTACAGACCAAACCACTGCTTATTCCACATTAAACCGATCTCAAAATTTCTCAGAACATCCTATGGAGAGAACAAAATTCTATTTAGGAAATAAGCTCAAAACTCATTTGGACAAGAAAATGAAAAATAGAAAGAAAGTTGAAATTCCGAAAGTGACTTACTGGTAGGAAGGACAGGGTTAACTGTGACTTGAATGTTGAGTGCCTGGATAAGTGAGAAAACCTCGTCCTTGCCGGTAGCTATAAACAGCTTAAGAACCCTCTCGGTTAGCTTTCCAGCTCTCAATGTTCTCTGCCAGAATCATGAAAATTTTTCATACTAAATGAATGCAAATAGAAGCAAGAGAAGCTGAGATGGCAAATATAAGGTTATAGAGATAAGATAGACTTGTGAACCTATATATATGCTAGTCAGAAAGAGAGAGAAAAATAATCATAGCTGAATTGTTTTTCAGTTATTCTCAGGTTCAAAGGATTTGAAAGAAAAAAGGGAAAATGGAAAAGAATTTAGAAACTAAATGAGGTAAGTTCAGCATGGTATTAAATTTAAGAAATGGAAAAAAATGATCATAGCAGAGAAAATTAGTAAAGAAGCGACAACAATAGCAAAATGTTCAACTCAAGTGATCAAAAAGAGCAAAAGGAGCTATCCATTCAAGCACAACAAAGGAAAACAACGAGGAAAAACTCATGAGCCGCTCTGACTTAAGTTTAAAAGATAGCATGGTGTGCTGTCTTAGTCTTAAAGAACCAATAATTAACATGCATGGAAATATAGAACTCCTGATATTGAACCAAAATCACTGAAACTTTAACTCTCCCTAATATCCAGTCAATGCCACTTAAACTGTCAGACAACTTGTTCGAATCAATCTCTCAAGAAAAGGGAGGTAACCTTTTCTGGTAGAAAGAATACTTCGGATCCAGTCAATAAGACACCTCATGTTTTCAGCAAGAAAATTTAATCGAAAAAGCAAATCTCTACTGGCAGAGATTGTAAATAGAACTCCTATGTTTCTACCCCAGCACTAAAGATAGAGTGACAGGGTACATGCCTAACGTGTTACTTGGCCAATTTCCATCGGCATATTAGTTCATTCAAGTTTCTCCATACTCTGGAGTGGAAACAACAATGTACGACCAGATTTTCAATACCGCCAATTTCATTTGTCAAAATTTCAAATTCAACATCAGTTTTTCAAAATTCAAAGCTAATTATCTTACCCAATTAGAAATTGGATATGGAAATTGAAATGAGAATGACAGAGCAGTGAGCTAGTGACACTAAACTCTGAACATCCTACACTTCTCATGCATTGTGATTGAATTGGATGGTAAATATCGACTGAAATCCATAGCACAAATGAAATTGACAATGGAATTACATCAAAAGAAACACAAATTTGCAATTGCAGAACACACAGACCTCCAGGCAGCACCCCAATAAGATTAGCAACTATTTTCTAAAGACTTAGTTAGCCATATTCCATCAAAATCAATTCATTTTCCCCAAATATCATCCAATCCACATATAAACACATAAGAAATCACAGCTTCACATAAAAAGAAAAAAACCAAAAAGCAATCAAGCTATTAAAACTGCCCATCTATCCAAACGGCAAGAAAACTTAAAAAAAAAAAGGAAAGGAAAGGAAAAAGAGAAAGAGAAAGAAAGGTTTACCAGGAAGAGCTCGATGAGAATATGATCAGGAAGAGGGGAGAGATCAGTGATATTGGAAAGGTTTAGGACAGCAGAATCCAAAGTTAGAGATAGCAAACAAGGCGGGGTTCTCATTCACTCAATTGCAAATTTCATTCTAATTAAGTTATATTAATTTCTAAAACAATAACAAAAAATAAAAAAAGATGATATTCTTGGATTTATAACTAGAAAAACTATATGTAATTGTAAATTTTATATTAACATGAAGAAGAATTGATCAACGTGCTCGATCCCATTCTGCAGTTTTGAAGGCGGTAGATCTGATTTCTCCCTCCCCTGTGCTTTGACAATTTTTTTATCGTCTTTCTACAGACAAACTCGATGTTTATCTCCACACGTGTTTCGTTAGCCGGACGTGTAGAATGAACTAGGTCGGTTGAGTTGCGGACTGGGAGAATAATGGTTCGGACTACCGATCCGGATTGATATTTATATTTATCGTATTTCACAAATTCTTTTAATAGAAGTTTTATTTAAAAAAAATAAAATATTTAAAATTATAGTAAATATTAAAAACTATAATAGTAAACTAAATACATTATTAGTTTGTATTTCTATAACTATTGACATAAAAGTCTAACTCTTTCAGATCATATAGTGATTTTTAAAAGAAAATGTTAAAATTTTAGTCAAAAAGTTCAAAAAAAATATATATACGAACAGATTTGATTATATCAATAAATGAACCATAAAATATGATCAAAATGCTGAAAAACTACCAAAAAATCACAAATCAAAGTCAAACGGCGTGAGAAAACTATTCATAAACACAACTGTATATCTAAATCCAATTGGAGGATCCAAGAAGATCATTGGGATAACAAACAAGTGTCATCTTGATCAATCGAGGTGACGTAAAATCCAACCCTAACAAAATAAATGAAAATAGCAACTAAATGACGAATAAAGAAAACAAAAAAAAACAAATCAAAAGACAGGAGAAAACATATTATAAAAACAAATAAAAATATGACAAACAAATAGAGTTTGTAGATGCTCGGTTTCGTCCGGGGACTCCGTTCGAGTTCTAGATCTAATACGAGTTACAGTGTAGATTAAGTTGGAGCCCTGAAGGATCTAGCCCGTGCCCAAACTAATTGGAAGCCCAACATGGAAATCAAAGGCAGTTATGAGAAGGGTTAGTAAGTAATTATCAAGGAGGATTCTACACACAAGAGAGGAGAAGCACAAAAGATTTTTTTCCTTTTCATTCGTTTTACACAACAAAACAACGGATAAAAACAGTGTAAACAATAATTTTTTCAGTATTCAAAGATCAATCGATGTAACAGTGGTCTTCCTTATCTTTTCTGAAAGCAATACAAGCAATCTCTAAACAGGTTATTTTCCTATTTTCCCCCCGAAATATTCAGTAATGCTATGTGCGATTTGTTATTTTTCATTCAAAACATAGAAAATAGAGAGAAATTTACCTAATCTATTTGTTGTCGGAGTCGGGGCTTGCATGTGTATGAGAGGCTCGGTTATAATTTTAAATCTAAGTAGAGAGGGAATGTGTTGTTGGTCGATTTCATGTTTAGTCTGGGCATTTGGTTCGATGCGTTATGAATCGGTAAAAGAGAGGGATTTGGAGAGAGAGTTTTGAGTACCATGGAAACCTTATTGGGGCTTAGCAAAGGGTGTGACCATGGTGGTCACCATGATTTTTGTTTGAGCTTTCTGTTTAGCGTAGAGGATGAGGTGAGCAGAGAAGAGAAAGGGAGTAAGAGGCTACATTTTTTCTGTTTAGGTTAGGATTACCATTTATGCTTAAGGGTAATATTTATTTTAAGATTTTAGGTCTAATTGAACTGTAGTCCCTCAAAAATTGCATGTTTTCATGTTTAAATCATGGCTCTGTGTTGTTTTTAATATTATTTGAACATTAGTTCGTAACTATTATATATGTTTATATTGAATATATTTTAATTATTATGTTATGCGTTTTTTTTTATTTATTTGCACAATAGTGCGTAAGTATTATATATATTATATTAACTAAGCTTTAGTTATTATATTGTACGTTATTTCTATATACCCTATATTACATACGTTTAATTTATATATTATATTATTAAATAGGTGCATGTAATTTTTGTATGAATATGTTACTTTGCATGATAGCTCTTTGTGTATTCTTCAATGTATATATGATCATATGACATTTTTTCTACAATTTGTATGGTAATCTCATTTGCATAACTCGACTTATAAATACATAATCGGACTAAGGGTAATACCCTTTTAATTTAAAATTGTCTTGAGTGGCTTGTCTTAACTGATTAGAGAGCCGTTTTGACTATTTTAAATTAAAAGTGTATCCCGACAGTGAAACATAAAAAATGGTTCGTCACCTAAAATTTGGGAATGAAAGAAAAGGAAATGTTCGTTTATTTAAATTTATCGAGAAAATGTTGTTATAGCTTTTAAGATCTGGTCTCGATATTTGTAAATAATCGAACATTCTTTATCTTTCTAAAACGACTTGGTAATTTTAATTTACTTTATTTGATGCTTTTGAATGTTTTTAAATTTACATTTTTGTTTTATAGGATCAAAAATCAAATTAAATTAGAATTTGTAAAATTCATTGCAAAGACATTAATTAATCAACTAGGTACCGTTTTAGGGCGTTGTGGGGGTGCTAATCCTTCCCCGCACGTAACCGACTCCCGAACTTGGATTTTGGTAACGCAGACCTTAATTTGTTGTTTTAATTAAAATTAATTTTTATTTAAAATAACAAAACATTTTTGGGTGCCCAATCACACCCTAATCAAAGATTGGTGGCGACTCTTTGAACAATATATATTTTTTTAACGTAAAAAGAATTTCAAAATTTTCGAAACGAGAGGTTTTTAAATCGCATTTGTTTTTAAATTAAAAATCAATTGAAAGAGATAAGTTAAAAATTGATGTGGTTTTCAAAATCTCACATTTTCACTTTTAAGGAAAAATCTTTTCGAAAGCTTGGCGACTCCGCTGGGGACCTTCCTTTTAGAGAGTCAGGCCGATAGTCGATTAATTAATTGTCTTTGCAATTGAAAATTACAAATTCGTTTTAATTTGATTTTTGATCCCTTGTTTGGTTTTTAATAAGTTTTGTTTGTATTTTGATTTTTTTTAATTCGATTAACAATTAAATAGTTGTACTAATCTGTTTGCTAATGGTTTCAGAATAATTGTTTGTTTTAGGAATTGATTTTGAGTGTTTTTATTTTTGTTTTTTTGCTTTTCCTCACACACTGCACAGCTGCATTATCATAACATGAGCTAAAACCCCGCTCCGTCCTATTTAAGTAGGAGTGAGAGACTATGCCCTCGTGTGGTTTTCACCTCCGCATGGGATAGTGGATCGCTCCTGGAGCTCACGCCTTATGGTCCTCGTGATGGTAATCACCTCCGCATGGACATAAGGAGGTGTGTTCCCTCGAAATTGAACTCGATCCCCTAAAGCCTGTGATGGGCCAGGATTGAGGGTTCGGTAGTCCAATGGGACACCGGCAAGGACAATTCGAGAACCTATTACTTTAGAACCTAACCCGGTATATAGTGAACCTAGAGCCTGAACTTAGGTTGAGCCAAACCCGAACCTTAAGAATCCCGTGAGGAAGGTACACAAGGAAAAGCTTTGTTGAGTCATTTATTTTCGTTTTTTCGAATAAATGCATGCGAACTAGATATCATGCGGTTAGGTTTATTTTTTGAACAAGCATGCGAATTAGATATCATGCAGTTAGGATTTATTTTTGTGAATAACAAAGCATGTGGGTAGATATCATGTTGGGTAGGATCTGATAAAGCATGATTGGGTAGCCAGCATGTGGGTAGGATTCTTGAACAAATTATTATCCCGATTTAATTGCTTTATATTTACTAATCGATCTTTTGTTGTCTTTGTCTTGTTTCTTTTCTGTTTTGCATTGCACTATCCATTACATGATGTTGATTTGGGATCGATGTCCATATAGAAGGCCAGTAATATGGAACGAACGGTTCAGAAAAAGGTTGAGGATAATGCCGATGTTCTGAGGTGGTCAGAACAGTCCCAACTGACCAATGGGGACAGCGTGATGCCTGGATACGTGTCGGAGTTATTTGGTTATACTCACATCAACGTGCGTCAGAATGATCTAAGTGACCGAAATCTGTTTAGAGCATTGGCACAGTTCTGGAACCCGACTTATAGCTGTTTCACATTTGGTAGAGTAGATCTGACACCAACAATAGAGGAGTATCAAGCTTTGGTCCATTGTCCGAGGTCCCAGATGGATAGAGTATATACCAAGCTGCCAGTCACTCCTTCGTTTAAGAAGAAATTACTATTGATGACCAGAATGAGTGAAGATTGGGTAGTCAGAAACATTAAGAAGAAGGGAGACAGTGAGTGCATCTCTTGGGCTGCTCTGAAAGAAGTAATTGCTCATCATCCTGATAAAAGAAAGAAGCTTAATTTGTTTGCTTTAGGGATTTATGGGCTCGTTATTTTTCCAAAAGTGATAGGATATGTAGACGTATCAGTCGTTGACCTGTTTGAAAGATTAGACAAGCACGTGGATCCTGTTCCAGCTATTCTAGCTGAGACGTTCCGGTCTTTGAGTTCTTGTAGGCGTGAGGGAGAAGGACGCTTTATAGGATGTGCGCCTTTGCTGCTAGTGTGGATTCTGAGTCATTTCAAACATGTTGAAAGGGCGCCAGGACGAGTATTTTTAGACGGTTTCTCACATTTGAAGGATTTTCTTTCTAAAGAGTGGCCTGGGGGCTTCACCGAAGAAAAATGGATGGTCATCTTCAAGGATATCAGAGATGGAGATATTTTGTGGCGAGCTTCGTGGAATACCTCTTTGGATATACTTTACCAATGTGGAGAGTGAGATTGGGTTCCTTTGCCAGGTATATGGGGTTCTGTTGGGTATGCACTGCTACTAGTTTCCAGACAGTATGGGTCAAGGCAGTTCATTCCAGCCACATAGGACTTGGTAGGGTCAAATTTTGCATTCAAAGGAGATCAGTATAAGGGTAAAGTTAAAGGGGTTACTGAGGCCTGGAAGCAAACTCGTCGCGTGAATTTGTTCACCTATGATCTCGAGTTGTCTCAAGAGTACGAGCAGTGGAGAAGCGGTCAAGTAAACGATAACATCCCGATAGTGAATCTTGAAAATATTCAGCCAGTGGAGGAACAGTTGAGAGTGGTGCCATCTCCATTAGAGTTAGCCAAGCGCGATTTCGAAGCAGAACGGAGACAATGGAGAATGACTTTGCAGAAACTGGAAGATGAAGTGTATTAAAAGGGATTGGAGATCGACATTCAGAAGAGTAGAGTAGATCGAATTGAAAAAGTGGAGAAGCAACTTCGGCTAGACTTTGACGATCTTC